GTAGCAATCTAAGTGAAAAAAATTTTTTTAAACTTAATATATAAAGGAAGTTACAGTGCCATTATTATAGTATGTAGCTACTCTAAGAATTACTTCAGGATGGGGAAAAGTGAGACCATGGCTACCATTTAAAATCACATTGTAAAGTAACTCTTTTATAAAAACCTGTTTTTATTTGCAAATAAGTGGTTGATAGTGGTATTTTATATCACAGTTTATTTATATAGGGGTGGGGGGGGCTAACCTATATTTACAGAATAAGGGCTAGTATAGATGTCTTTTCCACTAGTCTTTATGTCATCTGTTAGCAAAACTAATCAGGACCCTGAAAAAATTGTCAGTTTCAGGGAGACATTTCTCACTAATGATGAAACATGGAAAATATCTGTGTAAGGGGATCACACTGTTTCTTAAATTCAGATTATTGGAAGAGAGTGGTGACGTAGGTGTGTACTCTTCCTGAGGTTGGGTCAAACTAAAATAATAATTGAGAATGTCTTGAAAATTACCCTTGTTAATATTTTATTTTATTTAGAAACATGGCAGACTTGTTCACTGTGTAGCCAGACTGATGTATCTTATTTATTCTGTAGACTGGTCTTTCCCAGGGACAGCAGAGTAATTTATTAATACCAGGATATTCTTTAAAGATGGTAGGATTAAAGCATCGCAACAAAAATTGTTACCTAGATCTGTTTTTCCTTGTTATTTTTTCATCACCATTCTACTCATTTAATCTTTCAAAGCCATCTCAAGTAATAGTAGGTACCTGGTTCTGCTGGAGTAAAATGGGAGTTAGTGGCTGAAATACAGTTTGTTATTTGCTCTCAGTGACTTTATCAGTGTGCAGAGAATACTCCTTCAAGGAAAACAGGTATTTTTGATTTCAGGTGCCTTTGGAATCTAAATTTCAAGAGGCTTTAAAATGAATGGAGCTTTTGTGTTCTCTTCTATTGAATTTTTTTGTCATAAGGTAGTGTGACTTAATATTAAAAACAGAAACAAAAACAAAAAAACTACAGACCAGGAGCAGTGGCTCATGTCTATAATCTCAACATTTTTGGCAGGCCTTGAGGATCACTTGAGTTCAGGAGTTTGAAACCATCCTGGGCAACATACGGATACCTGATCTCTATAGAAAATTTAAAAAGCAGCCCAAAGCGGTGGCGCATGCCTGTGGTCTCAGCTACTTGGGAGGCAGCAGGGGGAGGATCACTTGAGTCCTGGAACTGGAGGCTGCGGTGAGCCCTGATTGTGCTTGGCACTCCAGCCTGAGCAACTAAGTGAGACCCTGTCTTAAACAACAACCAAAACCCTAACTATTAAATATAGGTAATACCATTCAGGACATAGGCATGGGCAAGGACTTCATGTCTAAAACACCAGAAGCAATGGCAACAAAAGCCAACATTGACAGATGGGATCTAATTAAACTAAAGAGCTTCTGCACAGCAAAAGAATCTATCATCAGATTGAACAGGCAACCTACAGAATGGGAGAAAATTTTTGCAATCTACTCATCTGACAAAGGGCTAATATCCAGAACCTACAAAGAACTCAAACAAATTTACAAGAAAAAAACAAATAACCCCATCAAAAAGTGGGCAAAGGATATGAACATACATTTCTCAAATGAAGACATGCACACAGCCAACAGATACATGAAAAAATGCTCGTCATCACTGGCCATCAGAGAAATGCAAATCAAAACGACAATGAGATACCATCTCACACCAGTTAGAATGGCAGTCATTAAAAAGTCAGGAAACAACAGGTACTGGAGAGGATGTGGAGAAATAGGAACACTTTTACACTGTTGGTGGGATTGTAAACTGGTTCAACCATTGTGGAAAACAGTATGGCGATTCCTCAAGAATCTAGAACTAGAAATACCATATGACCCAGCCATCCCATTACTGGGTATATACCCAAAGGATTATAAATCATGCTGCTATAAAGACACATGCACATGTATGTTTATTGCAGCACTATTTACAATAGCAAAGACTTGGAATCAACCCAAATGTTCATCAGTGACGGACTAGATTAAGAAAATGTGGCGCATATACACCATGGAATACTATGCAGCCATAAAAAAGGATGAGTTCATGTTCTTCGTAGGGACATGGATGCAGCTGGAAACCATCATTCTCAGCAAACTATCACAAGAACAGAAAACCAAACACCGCATGTTCTCACTCATAGGTGGGAACTGAACAATGAGATCACTTGGACTCTGGAAGGGGAACATCACACACCGGGGCCTATTATAGGGAGGAGGGAGAGGGGAGTGGTGGCATTGGGAGTTATACCTGATGTAAATGATGAGTTGATGGGTGCTGACGAGTTGATGGGTGCAGCACACCAACGTGGCACAAGTATACATATGTAACAAACCTGCACGTTGTGCACATGTACCCTAAAACTTAAAGTATAATAAAAATATATATATATATGAAAGCAGTTTAAAACTTACTTGTAAAAAGAGGTTCATATTGAAAGCATTGCTAAAAGGATTTCATCTGCTTGTAATTAGCCACCTCCTCTGTCCCCAAAGGAAGGCCCAGACATCACTAGTATCTTGGGGCACAGAGAGTCTCCCAGCAAGATGTTGGGTCTCATGTGAGGATGAAATTCTTGATCGTGAAAAGGAAGATATATTCTTAGAATACCAGGTTAGAAATCAAAGTGAATTTTTTTTTTTTCCCCTGTGAAAGTCCAGATAGTAAATAATTTAGGCTGTGGGCTAAGTTCTCATGTAATCATTACCTTCTATGGCCCATTGTAGTGCAAAACTAGCCGTGAATGGTGGGTAAATGAATGGTCTGAGTTCAATTAAACCTTTATTTGTTGACAGTGAATTTGAATTTCATGTAATTTTCACATTAAAAGGATTAAAAGGCCTTTTTTTGTCCCTAACCCTAACCCCCACCCCCACCCCCGCAAAATGTAAAACGAGATGGTGGGAGGCTGGAATTGACGTGTGGGTCATAGTTTGTCAAACTATGCTGCAAAGGATGGAACTTTTCATTTGTACTTTTTGCAGGCTATGACGATATTTCAGTACCTTGAGAAATAGACTCTTCTCATACACGCTGCAAACATCTTAACTGGTTGCATCATGCCAAAGGAGATTACACATATTACCAGGCTAAGCTTTTCAAAAATGTTTCCGAGAGAGTCTTATAAACAAGACAAAAGTCTAATTCTGGGTGGTAACTGAAGTCAGTGATAATTCTGTTTTACCAGCCGTGATATTCCTTGGATTAGGATACTGTTGAATGCTCCACTGTGATAGTCATAGTAGTAGTCATGGACCCGCTGGAGCATATTTGTTAATAGACCTGGTTCCTAGGTTTGACTTGATGGTTTTTGCTTTTTAGTGTTCAGTAAAAAACTACCTTCTGCTCAGTTATACTGCTGGGCTTAGTAAATTGTGACCACAGGGTGGTATGGTTCTCTTGTTGGCGTTAATTGTTGCTAAAATTGAAAGGAAAAATCTTCTGTACGTAATGAGAATTTGCTCCTCTAATTATGATGCTAAAATGGTCCGGCCTTCTCTAAATTGATTTTTCTGTAGTGCATTATTAAGATTTGTATAGTATTACATCTCAGTGCTTTAAACCTTGATGCTTTGTAATCTTTTGTTATGGTTACAACAGGAATTGTATAGTTTGTAATTGCGAGAATGCTAATAATTAGGACAGCATTTCATAGAATATATTTAGCCACTGGTCTTGATTAAAAAAAAAAAACTATATATAAAAACTACTAAAGAGTATTTACAGCTGGCTACGGTGGCTCACTCCTGTAATCCCAGCACTTTGGGAGGCTGAGGCGGGCAGATCGTCTGGGGTCAGGGTTCGAGACCAACCTGGCCAACATGGCAAAACCTTGTCTCTACTAAAAATACAAAAAAATTTAGCTGGGTGTGGTGGTGGGTGCTTGTAATCCCAGCTACTTGCGAGGCTGAGACACGAGGATCGCTTGAACCTAGGAGTTGGAGGTTGCAGTGAGCCGAAAGCATGCCACTGCACTGCAGCCTGGGCAATAAGAGGGAAACTCCGTCTTACCAAAAAAAAAAAAAAAAAAAAAAGCAACTGAAAGACAAAGATGTCTTACCTTCTAATAGTTGCAAAGTCATAGACAAAGTTATTGGCCCAAGATTTTTTGTCTGATTTTATGGGATTAATGTAGGGATAGATAAAGAAGAGCAGGAATGTCAGATGGTTAGGAAATACAAATTATTAGAAAAGCAGCCTCCTATTGAAATAGGTTAAAAATATTATAGACGGAGAGTTGAACATGTTCCAGGAGCTTTCCTATACAGTCATGTGTTGTTTAAACTATGGGGATATGTTCTGAGAACTATGGTATTAGGTGATTTTGTTCATTGTGCAAACATCATAGCGTATACTTACACAAACTTGGATGTTGTAGCCTGTTATGCACTTAGGCTGGAGCCCAAGCTCGTCTTCTTTGCACTCACCGCTTTCCAGGCAAGCCTATTGCTGGAGAATGTATGGACTTGGTAATGATTTATGGGATATAGAATTTAGAGAATTATTGTCAACTGGAACACAGGAGTTAAGAAGCATTCTGAGTACAAGGATGTGATCATTTATTATACCCCCTCCATCCTCTCTGCCTTATTTTTGGATTTTCTTCTCTATCTCCCCCACCCTTCCCCTTTTTAACCTATTCATCACGTAAAGTTTTCCTTCATCTTGTTGGTTAACTTATTTGTCTAATCACCTCCACTAAAATGTAAATTTAGAGAAGAGAGAGCGATCTTATTTTCAGGTTCATTCTGTATTGTGAATGCCTGGATAATTGCGTGGCACATAAGTGCTCAATCTTTATACCTGTTTCAGCTTACTAGAATGGGGGCATGGTTTAGACGGTATATTTGGTTTTCCCTTAAATATGATGTTTGATAAAGATAGGCTGCGAAGAGGAACCTTACTAATGTAAACTTGCTGTATTATTTCCTTTCCTAGGGCGATTGTGTTGTTACAGTGCTGCTTGCTGAAGAGGACAAAGTTGAAGATGATGTAGTGTTTTACTTGGTATTTTCAGGTTCCACCCTCCGTCACTGTACAAGTACTCGGAAGGTCAGTTCTGATACATTGGAGACCATTGCTCCTGGTAAGTATTTGAATGGGATCCTTACTAGCTTTTCCTAGTTCTTAAACACTTTTATTCTATGTTTATCAGTATAGAGTGACAGGAAGAGTGAAGTGTAGGCAGTGTAAAAAAATTTATTAGTTTATAAAGCAGTTTGACTATCTGGTCCTGCTGGTATTGGAGCAGATTGCCAGTTTTTTATTGCTGTGCCGTTTTATATGTATTATTGTTGTGTCGGCCACCTACCAAATTCTGTAAATTATAACTTATTTAAGAACTGGGATTATGACAGTTGAAAGCTGGTTTATCCTCCTACTTGGTAAAAATGATGTTGAAAATTCAAGGATTTAAAGATTCTAGAGAGTCTCTAGGTATATTACTTCCAAATTTTTATGGACAGGAAATAAAAGAAGGCGGTCAGGATAGATACCGATTGCTTTTCTGAAGAGTATTAGGTGTCCTTCCTTGTAACCCACAGCTCCAGTCATCTTGTTTCCTGTGATGTATATCACATCAGAAAGGCTTCTCTAGAACTTGAGGTCTGCTCTCTAGCAGGTGCCATCCAGTATCACCATTGCTGAACATTTTTTATGTGTTGGTGGTGGGGAGAAACAGCTTCTTAACCTAGGTATAATTGATCAGTCCGTGACTCAGTTCTCATTAGGAAAGGAATTGAGGTAAGTTTTATAAACATAATACTTCCTATACTAGGAGCACTTTAGGGTTAAAGTTTGAGGACTGTGTGTTTGTATACCTGTGTGTGCATGTGTATCTAGAAAGGGCATATAAGTAGATACAAGGAGACTGCAAGCAGATAAAAGGGAAAAGGCAAATATAACAAGCATGGCCTGTGTCCTAACTGTGATCCTCAGTCACAGATCCCAACAAAGTCTGTTCTCTTGGTGGAGAGGGATGTACCTCAAAGCCCTTAAGCCTTTACTGGTAAGGTCCTTAAACCAGGATGGGCAGCAGGCAATTAATTTCCCAGAGTCGCTGAACTTGATGACAGCCTGGAGCTCTAAGTTTGTACCAAATCCTTGAACATTGTCCTCAGCCTACCTTTCTGAGCTCTAGTTCACATTTCTTCCCTTGACTTTGATTCTAGTACCTCTTTATATATGTCTATATAAGTACCCTTGCCCTGCCTACCCAAACCAAGCAGAATGTATATTAGACTCTGCGCCTTTCCTCTAATTTGGTCCAAATCCTGGGAAATCATTCCTGACCCGTTTGCTTTGGCCCTGGAGTTCTACCTAGTACCTGGCTTTTCTTTCATTTTCTACGAATTGTCTCTCCGCTTAGCCACATTCCAGTATTTTCCATCATGCTTATGAGGTCTGATAACTCCCCCCTTCCCATTGGCCTGAACATTCTGCTTCCTACCTGAATTTAGTCAGGCAGCTGATATGAGGTGCCTCATCACAGCAGAGGTGACAAAAGGATTAGAGTCCCTGAAAGACCTTTTACCTCTGGAAGGCCAAATGGAGAGTAAGACAACACTTTTAACATATGAGCCTTTGATACGTGTGCAAGGGTATCAATGAGATCCTTAGTTGGTGTAGTAGAAACTCTATTAACTAAGCAAAGGAGATTCCTGACCAGACCCTATTGCTCTACTTATCGCATATGAGATTTTTCTGGTTATTTGTCTTTTTCAGCTACTGTCATTTGGCTTAGTTTGGTAATTTATTGTGGAGGGGTAGAGATAGAGGCATTTTGGGGGTTAACTTGTTTTGAATTTCTTGTTTATATTATGGGGTAAATTCTTTAGCCTGGACCTAAACGTCTTTAAATCTGCCTTTGTGGACTTAGACTTGTGCCTTCCCTTCCTTCAGGCCCTTACTCAGCTATCACCTCAGTGAAGCCTTTCGGTCCAGCTTATAAAAATACACAGCTGCCGCCTCTCCACATTCCCCATCCCCCTTTCCTGCTTTATTTTTGTCCATTGCACTTTTCAACTTCTCACATATATTTTACTTATTTATCTTATTTATTTTCTGTCTGCCCCAACTAAAGTGTTAGCTTTATGAGGACAAGGATTTTTGTTTGGTTTCCTCACTGGTATATGCTAAGAAGGCTTGTTCTAGGAAACTGTCACTTGATAGAACAACATTTCTACTGTGTCACACATCCTGCTTCCCAGAAGCTGCTCTTCTAGAAAGATGTGTATGTATGTGAATACACCCATACTCACACTCACATGTAACCCCCTCCCCGCCCTGTTTTTTTTTGTTTGTTTTGTTTGTTTGTTTGTTTGTTTTAAATAAATTCAAAAGGAGTCTCTGGCTTGTTGAGTTGCATTTTTAGCTTGGAGAAGGAGTCTGATGATTTTTGTGCATCAGTTAAGCTGCATTGATAGCCTCAGATTTCCTGTTTGCTGAGAGCAGTGCTAGATTATTCAAGAATCTTCATGGAAAGTCCAGTCTTCGTGGAAAGTCCATGCAGTGCACTGTGCATCCCAGTTCCTGGATAAGTGTGCATGGTCTGTTTGTTGCAGCAGCTACTGCCTACAGGGAT